ACAGGACTCCAAAACTCACCGGTAGGCAGCATGATGACAGCCCAAGTCAGGAACCATTTTCAGGTTCAAACAACAGATTACCATTTCAACTCAGAAATGAGATCTTGGGATCTGACAGATAGCTATATGAGAATGCAAGCTCAGTGATGGTCAAAAAAGCGAACAAAAATGTTAGGACCTCTTAGGAAAGCAGTGGAGCAAAACAACATTATCATAATACCTAAACCACCATGATTCCCCTACATCTTAAATTCTAAGCATCCCTCCAGTCTTCCTATACAGAAGAATGGAAAAAAATGAAAAGGGCAATGTGAGTTACCAAAGGCATGGAGCAGTTGTCATAGGGCAATCATAGAGTAATCATGGACCAGCTATCATGAGTAAGATGGGATTCTTCAGTCTGGAAAACAGGTGACTGAACGAGGAAAGTGCTGGGGTTTGATGGGAAAAGTGGGCAGTGTGAACCTTAGGAACCAGTGAAGGTCATTCCACAGTCTTGTGTGGGAGGCACTGAGAACCAAATGATTCTAGCAGGCAACATGTTAATAACACATAAAAATAAGTGTTATTTAATGTAACACATCGTTAAGATCTAGTTAGAGGACCTTTGGAGACTGAAACTACACGGGTTCAGAGAACCACTAAATAAATTCACAAAATCGTAGAATCATAGAATAGTAAGGGTTGGAAAGGACCTTAAGATTATCAAGTTCCAACCCCCCTGCCATGGGCAGGGACACCTCGCTCTATAGAAGCATATTGTGCTTTCTGTGTATTTAGGAACTCTCGTCCATGTCAGGAAGTGTTTGCAGTGAAAACAACTGACGTCATCATCATCATTAGGAAGTAAAAGTACAAGTATGTCTCTGACTGAGTTGGTTACAGATGCCTACCATCCCTAGATAGTTATCCATTTTTGGCCAGTGCTAGAGTTAAATATCAGGCTAGACGGACATTTGGTCCTAGTATGACCCTTTTTTACAGCTAGCCTAGACTTCAGATAACTACAGTCAGTGCTGTGAATTATATTAGGGGTTAAAAATAAGAAAAAAAAATGAGTGTGGGATTATTTAAGTTATGGGGAAACTGGCCTAAAGCCTTCTTCACCTTGAAATCTATAGATTTTAATAGGAACTGAATCAGAGCAAGACTGGTACATCTCAAAAGTGTGTGGTACTTTTAGCATTATTGTTTTCCTCCACCTTTGATTGCTCGAAACAACATTAATTTCAGGTGGGAAAAAAGGCTAGCACAATACTTTGGTGTAATAAAGGGATTTTCTGTAAGGGAAAGCTTGGTGATGCTGCTCTCTCACGAGTCAGTTCTGGACTTGGGAAATGAATGCTCTTAGAAAGCAAATATGGTAAGTTTCGCCCCCTTTTTGCTCAAGGTGCAAAATGTGTGCCCATCCTGCTTGCCCTGATAGCACATCACGGAAGCCTGCAAGTATGGCCACTGATTTATTTCCAAAACAAGATAGGCTGCCGTAAATGCTCCTCTCCCTGAAGATCAGGTGAGAGCAGAACCATCACTTGGCTGTTCAAGTTCTTTCGAAGTTCTTGTTTGCATCTGGCTATGACAGTACTGCACATAGGGAGAAATCTTTGTGGAAGAGAATCCATGTTGTTTTGCTGAATTCCACAGTTTTCCATTTGAACATGAAATTTGTTTGCAGCTCTCCAGGGTTGCTTTGTAGCATTTTCATTTCAGTGATGTAAGAGCTGCCTTTTACTGTCAAGCCCATAATTAAAGCAATGTTGACTGGTACGTAATGAGCTGCAAACAGTATACCAAAAGATAATTAAAGATGCACTCCAGATAAACAGGGCATGAGCATCCTTTTTATGAGGTGTTAATGTCTGAAGACCAACTAGTGAAATTGATCTTGGCTCTTTTAGGATGAAAGTTCTGCTTAAACATCAATAGCATTGTACTGCCCTAGAAAATGTTTGATGTGGGGATTTCTAAAGGGGTGTGCTTGTCCTAAGACTCCCTGGGCAGGCGCCTGGTGACAGAGCCCATGCCTCACAGGGTAATTCGACATCCCATTCATGCTAGCATGATTATGGGGTCACCTTTGCGACTCCTAACAGTAGGGTTGCTCTGGAGAGAGAGAGGAGAGGAGCTCCTGATACCCTGATCTTGACTAGTATAGATGCAAAACTTTTTTTGAGAGCCATTTTGAAGAGCACTGTGGCTAGTCCTTGTCCAATAACTGTGTTGTCCATCTTAAATGTCCTTTACACTATATCTTTTGTTGTTGCTGTTGTTGTGTTTTCAGCATATTCTACATGTGACATGGATTCTTCTGTAGATGCACTTTTATCACGACTGGCATAAAGGAACATAGGCAGAGGACACAGTGGGTTTCCACATTTGGACTCTGCTGAAATCTACAGCAACATTCCATGGGTTTTGGTGGGATCCTAAAGATAACCTATGAATTGACAAGACACTTTTTTCTAAGCATGCCTCTTTGGGTATTCCTGCTTCTTTCCCCATGCTCTTCCCATTCCCCTATTTGTGAAACTAATAAAAAAAAAATATGGTGGCAGGGGGAATACTATTTTACCAGCACAGTTTAGAGAAGAGATAGGAGAGCTCATGTTCAATTGTTTTGATTATGACTGACATGCAACAGCAAGATGGTGTGAGGGGAACATAGGCAGTCGTGGCTAGTCAGTGTTGTTGCCTGAATTAGCGTATGGTCTGAGTGCAGCTGTAATGCAAGTTAGCTCAAGTCCAGGAGTGTCGGAAAAAGAGAGTGAGGTTAAGATTACCATCTTCTTTCCTGGAATCTCACTTAAAACTTGCTATCTAAGTCTCTATCAATTAGCATTGCAAAAAAAATTCTCTGAAAATGAAGGGTGTAAAGAGGCTGCCTGGCAGAGTGCCTGAAACAATAACTCTAGGAAGTGTGAACTGCTCTCTCCATAGCCAGAGGATGTTAACAAAAGCCTGGTCTATTTGACCTAGCTAGTAGTGATGGACAGTCACTATTAGTAAGTAGCGCAAGTCTGTGCAAGTCTCTGCTGACTCCTCCTTATCTCTTCTGCACTGGATGTAGCTGTAAGGTGTATATGTGTGTGCTGGAAGGTGTGACTTCCCTGTCATTTTGAGATCAATATTGCAGGCTGCCTGCAGGATCAGCTTTGTATTGTAGTTATTCCTTTGAGATGATGCTTTCTGCCATGAAAATTGGAAATGCGGAAAGAAAAATGACAGCATTTGTTCTAGCCCTCTCTGTGGCCAGACTGAATGAGTAAGCTCTTTGTACCCTGCAAACATCCTGGGTATCCTTGATCCAGTTTATTACGCACCCCACAATTATATTGGAATTGCAAAGATACGGAAAGGTTATATGCAATTCCGTATTTTTTTGTGCCAGTCTAAATCAGAGCTCCCTCGTTCTCTTTCATCCCCTGTTCCGGTGCATCCATCCCAAGCTGGTGGTTGAACTGAGCCTGGCAAAAAAAAAAAGAATGATCAGGTTTTTTTGGAAGGAGTAGCTCTGTGAGTCGGCTCATTTGATAGCCAAGTGTGCACTGAGGTGCCTTGTGCAGGACCGCATGCAAAGCCAGGGCTTAAAGGCAGGCAAGATTGCACCCTGCATGCTTAGAGCATGAAGGAACAGCTGAATCTGGATTTGCCATAGAGAAAGCTGTTAATAAAACTGTACCATCAAGCTTTATATGTCTAAGCCTTCGTGCACCCCTCCCTACAGATATATCTGAATGTGGAAAGTGAACTAAAACTGAAGTACTAGCAGCATACCTTGACTGTATCTAGAACTGCTGAACCACTTGCCACCTGGCTGCTTTTTTCTATTCTCCACATGACAATTCTTGCTTGAACACATATTTTATTGTTTGCATGAACAGGAAAAAACTCCAAACTGTTCTGAAGCTCTGAGGAAGAAATCTTGTAGGATGTGTCTGTGCTATGGCAGCCCAAGCTTATGGGAATGCTGTGGTAGAATAAAAAGGAGGAGTACTAAGAAATTGCTTTGAGCTGTTGCATCCAGATGTTCTGGACTATGTGCTGCTGCCATCCCTCTAACATTCTGCCTTCATACGAACTTCTGCTTGAAAGCAGTATCTGGTAAAGTGGTTTCTAAAGGCACTTATCTTGCCATATGGGCAGAGCTGCTAAAGAATCCAGCGTGTGGAGTACTAGACTCAAAGGGGCTGACTGTTGCCCCTGTCTGGAAGGACATTTGTTTTTGTTGTGAGCCACTGCAGCGGTGTCTGCAATATTAAAACCCTTGCCCAGCTCAACTCAAAACTGTCTGCATGGATGTTAGATGTACTGGTCCTTGCAGAATGCAAATGGTATGTGACAGCTTTCAGACTTTGTCCCCATACCCTTTAGTTTCAGAGCAAGCTGGAGCAGGTCCCAGATCTGAAAAATGAATGGGGACATGTGATGAAAAACACATGAAGTAATGAGGCTGCTGTTCTTGAACACCTTCAGTGATAGCTATTAATGGTCTCATTTGACAAATTATTACATTGACTAATTGATTTGCTTCTGTACTAATCTTGTTCTAACATCTAATCCTTTTCCACGTCGCAACTGTCACTCCGTGTAAGTACTTATGTCACTCTTGGCCCTTAAATAATATTTGTGATCTCTCTTTTGGTCATAATTTCACCTTGGACTGAAAGTACAGACCTTGCTTGTTCCGTACATGTCTTGAATGAATAGAGCTGTGTGGAGGGAGGAAGAAGCAGCAGCAGCCCTAGCAAAGGAAAAGCTTGTGGTGAGCTCTTCAGCACTGCTCAGGCAGGAGGCTGCAGATTCCTACAGATTGTGCTGAGGGAAGCTTTGTCCTTCACTGTGAATTGTGGGCTTTGATGCAACGTCTAGTGGAGCCACCAGCGTTTTCATTACTGCAGTGAAGATGATTCAATTTAAGAGAATTTGCCATGGATAGAAACAGAGTGGGGTAGGCAATGACTTGTAACCGAGTGCTGAAATGGTTTCTATTCAGGAGAAGGTTGGTGAGGAGGCCTCCCCTCATCTGGAGGAGCCTCACGTTTCCAGCAGAGCCCTGGGCCTGTGGTGTAGAGAGAAGGGGAGACTTCCCTGAGGGCTCCAGCAGAGGTGAAAGATAATTTCATTAAATTATCCGCTCTCCATGTGAATTAAAGAAAGGTGGATGCGTTTGTGGCGGCAGTGGGGGCTTCACTGGGAGACGCTTTGGCTCCTTCCATGGGCCGAGCCCTTATTATGTGTATTTTGGTGATGGGATGACAATGGAGGTGTGGGAGACGGCTGTGAGTCACCCTCGCAGGCTCGGCGGCTCCGGCCCCCTTGCCGGGGGGGGGGGGGTGGGGGTCGCTAACGGCCAGGGCGGAGGGCTCATAAGGCACGGAGCGGCCTATGCCACCCCACACACAGCCCGCAGACCTCGGCGCACATGGAGCTCGCCAGCCTGCCCCGAAGCCCCGAACCCACCGGTAAGGCTCTCGGCATTTGTGCGGCCGGGCCGGGGAGGGGAGGTCAGGGCGGCGGTGGGGCAGGAGAAGTGGGCTCCAGGAACGCGGCTGGACGCGGCACCGCTGACTGCCGTCCCCTCTCACCGCAGGCGAGACCCGAGCGCGTCCCGCGGCCCCCAGCGCGGGGCGAGAGGGCGGCCGGCGGAAGCGGACCACCTTCAGCAAGGCCCAGCTGGAGCTGCTGGTTCGCGCCTTCGAGAAGGAGCCCTATCCCGGCATCGCGCTGCGGGAGCAGCTCTCTGGCCTCACCGACATCCCCGAGTCCAGGATCCAGGTGAGAAGGGCGGGAGGGCGGCTTCCCCCGGCAGGGCCGAGGCGGAGCAGGCGCTCAGTCTCTGCTGCCCTCGCAGGTGTGGTTCCAGAACAGGAGAGCCCGGCAGCTGAACCACAAGAAGAGCGAAGCCGCTGCCTACCCCAAGCCGGCCAGTGGCAAACAGAAACCGACCCGCTGCGGCGGCTGCTGCCAGGATAGGAGCCGGACGACAGAGGGGCTTGGGCCAGATGGGAGCCTCCTCCATCCACAGCCCGGCCTACCAGGAGGAAACCAGAGTTTCGCTGGTCAGCCTCTGCCCTACTCGGGGCAGCTTTACTCAAGGCTCGATACTCATTTCAGGGGCTTGGATAACACTTCTGGAGAGCCGGGTCAGACCCCAGCTCACTGCGGTTTGGACTGCATGGGAAAAGGGGTCCCACTCGGTGCAGGAAGTGTGGGGAGTACCCCCCAGGTCTCGTTTCCTGTGCAACAGGCACAGGAATATCCATACCTGAAGAAATCTTTCCCTGAAACCTACTACTCAGATGCAGATGTTTTCCAGTATTGTATAGAAGATCATCAGTACCTGGCAGCTAAAGAGAATGTGTATAGGAGGCCTGTCTTAAACTACTTAAATGCTAACCAGGGCCTGGGCAATGAGAACTATTTGTATATAAAGTCAAATATTTCTCCTTTTGGGAAGGGCTCCACTTTCAATTATGTTGAAGGGGAATCTAAGCTTGAGGTAGAGCAGGTGGGGCACAGTCCACCTCTGGTTCCAGCTAATAACACTAGTCCTCCTTTGGTACTTCCAAAACACGAAGAGGGGTGTCAAGGAACACTTTCTGCTCCAGCCCCATCGTATGGGCAGCAGCTGCTGGAGACAGTAAGTGACTATGACCCTCACTGGCTGGGCATGAGAAACGAAATTTTGGGAACTGGGTTAGACTTGCTGTTTGAGAATGAGCAAAACTGGGGGCAAGGTGGGCCAAAAAGTTACATTTTTGCTTTTGGTGGCCAGAACTCAACCTGTCATCTGGGTCGCACATGAACCTGACAGTGGGTCTGCTTGACTGATGGAAAACTAATGTGTTTTTGTTGGATTGGCAGTGTTCTCCAAAGTGGCTAGAGATTTTGCAGGTCTGAGTGTGGAGTGCTTGTTCTGAATTTTGTGCACTGTCTGGAAGGAGAGCAAAGATAGGCAAAATTAGCAAGGGCTACAGGAGAGTAGCCTGCTGAATGTGTGCTGCCTCATCCTTTGGGAGCTGTCACAAAGCTATTTGCAGTATTCCTGCATGCATCTGGTTATTGGCAGTCTCACATTTACTTGCACATACAGACTGTTTTTCAAACGATGCTGGATTAATTCTGCCCTGAGGCTTGGGGCTATGGCATTGTTTTTGTGGCTTTACTGCAGAGTTCTCTTTCTATTTTGGTCAGAATTCACTTTAACTTAAATCTGCAGAAAACAGATGTATTTATAGCTTTTAGTGGAGAAAGCATTAAGACGAGAGGGGTACTAGCATGGGAAAAGCAGCCTTGGTGGTGGCAGGGGACAGCTCACTGGGTGGGTTGGCGTTTTAGGTGTGCTCCTGATACAGAACACTGCTGGTCTTTTCCTAGATACTTGATGTATAGTGTTTTCACTTAAAATTACGACATGTGTAGCCTTTTAAAAGGCAATATTTTTGTGATTTCCTTCTGTGTATTTTTTTATTGTCTTTGTTTTGAAATTGTAATTTTCCATTTGCCAAATGAAGGGTTTTTTACCTGGGTGATAATGAACTTATAGAGCTGCATGAAAAGGAAAAATAAAAATGTGTTCCAGCTTTGCATTTGCACACAGAGCCTATTTTTATATTTCTCAAGATCCATGGCCATCTGGAAGACCCCTGTAATCATGGAAGTGTTTTCTTCCTGGAGCACTGCCATGGTTGTGTATTCAAGCATTATTGGGCCTAGGATGCTGAAAATTCTCTATGCAAATCGTTTCTTGTTTAAAATGTGGCTCTGGAATATTTTAAGTATGTGAAGATTTTAATATACACGTTATTAACTTAATTACTTTGTTTATAGAACAAAATAAACATAATAAAAGTACAACTTAAACACAGACCATTATTTTATTAACAAAGATATCTCTGTCAAGAAGCTATATATTGAGCTGTGTACACAAGAGCTCCAGAAAGTTACCCCTGACTTTTGTAATTTTTAGCTGTAGCTGTGAAGAAGTCATTTAACTTTTCTACCTTGTTCTGAAGAATTTGGAACATACTCATGTCTGTGGAAGAATCACAGCTTCAGACAATAGCTGCAAGGCACTTTAAACACAAAAAAGTTGTATATTAGAGCTAAGTCCAAGTTGATGATTGTATTTATCTTGCATATATGATTCTTTAGTAAACGTAAGACTTACTCATTTATTTACACTTTCAATCATATTAACTTCCTAATGAGAAGTGAGACTTGTTCTTAAACACAGACAGAACAAGAATAGTTTTACCTGTGAAAAAGACAAGAAACTGGTGTTCAGAAGTGTATCCAATCAGCTTTGCTTCATAAAGAAAGAGTTAGAGAGCAAAAGGAAAAAAGACATCTGAAAAAATGGTATGCCCAATAAACCAAACAAGGATGTGGGGTTTTGGTTAGGGGCCACCTGGCAGGTAGCACCTGGTCTTCCCATTGTATCCTTCCTGGTGATGTAAATGCATGGTAACCAGCACCCTCTTATCTCATGGGGCTGAGGTAGAGTTGGTGGGTCACTGTTGCAGATTCTCTTGAGTGAGCCTCATCTCTACAATGCATGCAGCCATCACGCTGTAAGACATTCTATTCTGTCAAAGCTCACAACGCCACACCAAGGCAACCGTGTTAGGTACCTGGTGTTGAGCTGTCATCCCGGCTGCTCTAGTTATACTGGGCATTACAAACCCTTCATTCGGCCTAGGGCGCACACATCCCTTAATATTAAACCCATGTTTCCAGCACTGAGGTGGAATACTCTCTAAATCCTTTTTGAGCAAGTCCAATAAAAAAATAAATCATTCTCTCACCACAGAGCTACCTACTGATCATGGTAGAGCTCTTCTGTAAGTTGTGAGTTTATTTTGTTACAAGTTGCTTTTAACAAACCTACCTAGCATATATTTCACAATAAACACAAAGACAAACCTGTGCAGAGCAGCCAGATGCAGCACTATGTTACGATGCTTCTATAAACTTTCATTCCTTACTAAGAGGTGGAGAATGCTGGAAGACATTAAATGCTTATTCAACATGTAGGAGGTACTGTCACAGCGATGGTATTAGTAGCTTCCCCAGGACCTCGCATGCCAAAAGTATCTCTGCTGTCATACAAGTAGATGATGCTGAGGAAAAGGTGGGGCAGGAACCAAGTGTGTTCAGTACTGGACTACTCTTATGCTGCCTGTAAAATGCCCATTTGTAAAAGATACGAGGATTTTGCATGCTGAATGTTGAAAACTATTTTCTTGCACATAACCTGTCAAAGATAAAGTGAGGACTCAGTTTTACCCATGTGGTTTACGGTCAGCCTGGTCCTAATCCACTGCTAGGCACCTTGAGCTCTTCATTTGTGGAAGACTGCAAAGTGCATTCCTTTCTTCTCAGCCATCTCCTCCAGCAGCAGGACCAGTGACATCCACAGCCTCTGCAGCTGTGAGTCCTTGCTGGAAGCCACCCACCTGAGAAGCATGATCTGACAAGCACCACAGAGACAGCAGTTCATGACCTGGACACCTCTTTAGCAGCCCTGCTCCTCCCCATTTCTTGGCATAAGGCAAATTACACCAGAAAAGAGGGCTATTCTCTTAATTAAGCAGGGCCTGTACCTGCAACTTTGTGAGGACTTGCCTTAAGGCATAGGCACAGGCCTACATCTGAGATAAAACAAGTACTCACTTTGCACCTAGAGTACCCTGCCTCTTGCATGCCTAGTCATGTCCTTCTGTGGTGGTGACCTTAATACCTGAAAAAAGCCCCATCTAAGTTTCATCCAAGTTCATAGCACTGCCCTTCACAGGTTTTTACCTTCTGACTTTTGCTTGTTCTCCCGTAGTCCTTTGTAAGGATTTTTCTTTAAAACAGATCTTTCTCACATTGATTTCTGAGGCCGCAGCAGGCAGTTACTACGGGAACAACCTCCAACACTGTGCGGCAGGAGGCTGCGCGGCGCAGGTGCCGCCCGCGGTGATGCGACCCTTCACAGCATTTGCGGGGTGGTAGCTATATACACACCTAACGCAACCACGAGCTGGTTCCCGGTCCCTCACCCCCCGCGGCTCGCTTAGCGCCCCTACAGGGACTCACGGGCCCAAGCGCCGCCGGGCTGCGGCCGTGTGTACCGGCAATAAGGTTCCGTCGCAGCCGCGCCTCCCGGAACTCTGGGTGCAGCCCCTGTTTCCGGCTGATCACCAGAGAGGCACGGGCGGTGCGGGCCCACGCGGACCGCGCGGTCTGGACTGCCCAGTGAGTAGCGGCGGTTGCCTGTGGGGAGCAGCTCTCCCGCTCCTCAGGGGTCGCAGGGCCGGCAGCTCCCTGCTGGGTGGCGGTGGATCTCGCTTTTCCTGGGGTAAAGTAGGGGCCCTTTCTCTGCGGCGGCCCTCACGTCCCGGAGCGGGCTGCCGGCCTGTCTGGAGGCACTCGTCCTCCCGAGCGCGGAGACCGGCCTGGGCCGAGCCAAGCGGCCGTGGTGGCGACAACTCAGTGCCCGGCGCGCAGAGTCTGGAGCCTGGCAGGAGTACTGCTTTGCTCAGGGTGGACTTAGGTGCTTTCCTCTGCGTGCAAGCAGGACACAGATTAGCAATGTCTTTACCGAGATGGTTCAGTAATGTTTGCATAGTACTGCTGTTCTGTCACAGGTGTGCTGCATCCGTGTGCGGTGTGTGCTAACTGCATTTTCTTCCTTTGTCAGGAGTGCGCAGTATCACGCAGAAACAGTCTGCATCATACTGCTTGTAAACTATTTTTGAAACAATAAGATGGAAGAAAAAGAGAAGAAGCAGCATCGTGCAAAGCACAGTGGGCCAAAGGCAGAGAAGAAAAGGAAACGTTACCTCAATGATCTTGGAATAGGAGATGAGGAGAATGCACGGAAGAGGAACCCCAAAGCCTTTACGGTACAGTCCGCTGTGCGGATGGCCAGAACTTTCCATAGGTAAAAAATGGGAATTGGGTATAGGGCATGCAAGGTTGGCTGGATGGATAGATGTTGCCTGGGGTTCTTTGTTACTATGTAGAAATATACCTAGTGTATTTTTTGCTGGTGCACTCATGTAACTCCTACCATTGAGCTTGTAGTTGTAGTTAATGCACATGTCAGAAGCATGATGCTTTTTGTTGTTACATAGTACAGCTGTGTTAGTTAATGGAAAAAAAAAAAGAATTGTGTAGCTCCTTAGACTTGGAGTTCTACATACATACTAGTATTTGGGCACTTGTTGAACCTTTGTGACCAATCTTTTGCAAATACTGAAGACTTTCAAATGATAAATGCTACCTTTTTTAAGTTCATGTATTTACTTATTACAATTTTTTTTTTTCCCCCAGAACTCAGGATTTGAAGACCAAAAAACATCACATTCCTGTGGTTGACCGTACTCCTTTGGAGCCACCTCCTGTGGTGGTGGTTGTAGTTGGCCCTCCCAAGGTTGGGAAAAGCACCTTAATAAAATGTCTCATTAAGAACTTCACAAGGCAAAAGCTAGTTGAAATCCGGGGTCCTGTTACAATTGTTTCAGGTGAGAACAAGGATAGGAGAAATTGAAATGTGTACTTTGCACTCCGTATTTATCTTGCTTTGAGAGCTAGGGTGTGTTCATGTTGTTGTAAATTTAGGTAACTTTAAAGAAATCCTTTGGATGTGTTATTAGGCATACCTATTAACAGTAAAAGAACAACTAGATTTAGGCCTTTAGGGAACTTCTGCCTCTGAACTTATTTTCCACCCTGTTAGTATCCCAATTCAGTGTCATTTTTTGGTTTTGTTTGTTTATTTATTTATTCTTTCTGGCTTTTTCCCAATTTCTTCCATTTCCAAAACTCTTCCCAAGTTCTCATTTTCCACTGGGTTCTCTTTTCACTTTTGAACTGTTATTCTCTGGCTTCATCTTAACCTCTACATGTGTTTCATGTTCTTCCATATTCCTGTTCTGTAATCCTGTCTTTGTGTCCCTTTCTGCCTTAAGCCAAGAACTAATTTGCCTGGCCATTTCTCGTAACATTTCTCTACCTCACTCCCTCATCAGTTCCTTTTCCTTTTTGTTAAGTTTTTATGCTCAGTTTCCAGTTGTCCTAGTCTTTTCCTTTCTTGCTTCTTCCTCAGTATTACCTGGGGGGCATCCTTGAGGTTCAAGCCGGGGCACAGCCTGCAGCAGTTCAAGAAACCCATTTGTAAGGGAGATCTTGCTTGGACAGCTGTATGTTTGGTGCAGATAGGTTCTTCAGTGACTTTAACTAGTAAATTTCCTTTTCGCAGGGAATAACCGGCAAATACAGGAAAGGGAAAATGGAAAGAAAAAATGATGTGTTCACTTGATTTTCCTAATTGGTCTACTGGGCCTCAAGGGTTGAATTTTGCAATTGATTGCCTGAAGAAAAAAATTGCACCTGTTGTCACGACTATATGCATAAAGTTGTAATTTCTAGGTATTTTGTGTCTAAAGTTCAGTTAACTATCTCAGGTTAGTCAAGCTGAGCTAAGAGTGGCTGACTACGGGAATGTGACCTGAAAAAGAAAGATGGGCTGATTAGTTTGATCCTTCTGTTTCAGTCTTTCATTCTTAATTCTGCTTTTAGGTAAAAAACGCAGGCTAACTATTATTGAATGTGGATGTGACATTAACACAATGATTGACCTGGCGAAAGTTGCTGATTTGGTGAGTTAACAGTGGCATATGATTTCTGCTGTAATTTATGTTGAAAATACTCCTTCAGACTGCAGTGCACCAATGTCTGGTTTCTTTACCCATTGGGAGGATGTGGAAGAGGGGAAATATAACTGAACTTCATTGCTAGTACAGTGTGTCAATGTTTAATGAGAGATCTTATAACAAGCCAAGGTGATAAAGTTACTTTTCTTTAAAGGATTTGGTC